CAAAAATCCCAGTGGGATGCAAGTCAAACAACAACAACAACCATAAGACAATGTAGATTAAAGTTATCAGGCCAACTCTGTACGACAACAAACAAACGTGGCCAGACCAAGCCGTCCTAAAAATCACCAAAATAAAGTCACAAAAAACAATGTAACAGTGATCACAGGAACTGTGATTCAAATCCAACAACAAACGATATACATAACATGCACGACAAAACTTTGCCACCATAGCTGGCTGCATGAGTCACTCCATAACAGCAGGAGCATCAGTAGCAGAATCTAAAATTCTCAATACACCTTTAAAGATCAGCACACCACAATCAAAACTCAATATCATACTTTTCAGCGGTCATCCGGAATGATACATTTGATTTCAGGCCACTCTGAATAGCAGTGGCAGCTAGGTGTGTACAACTCTTCAAGAGCAGTTTTGAGTGAAGATCTCAAAGGCAGTGATTCAAGTTGCAGTTAATTGGCGAGTCGACCCGAGTGGAGGCTCAGTACCGATTCAGATAATAGTCACTGGTGCTGGCCGTGAGCGGAAATCGAACTGGGGTCGTCGGGTTTGTAGCACAGCATGCTGACCGCTGCACTACCGCTCCCCTACACAGATCGACACACGCGTACACTCAGACTACCCCACACGCATACTCTAGGGTCGAGTCACCTTCAAACGAGTACCTGATGCGGTCTGCAAACGTCCCATTAGCGCGGTCGGCTGCGTACGGTGCGAAATAAGTTGAACACACGCACTTTACGTAAACACCACCACTGGGGAGACAAAGGCGGCCGGGCGTGATGTTGCCACCACCACCCGCATCGCGTGGTGCCGTTTCGGCCTTCGTCGGTTGCTGCTACACGTGAACGGCACGAGCCTCCCCCCCTAAAGTCTTTGCAATCGCCTTTCGGGACGTGCGCGAGGATCTCTGTGTCGAGGGGGTGGAGGGTGGGTGGCTGGAAGAGCGTGGAGGGAGAGGCACCCCCCACCTCCCCATCCCCTCCCGTTGAGGTGGGGGGGTGGCGGGCTGAGCTGGAGGCCTTTCTACGAATGTGACATTTTGGGTTTCCACCTCCGTGCGTCTCAAAACGGCGCCTCCTTTGTGCTTCCGTTGCCCCCCGACCACTTAAACACGGCCCGGTGGCAGCGGCCATTCGTCTGGCCCTGTGTGTGGCCCTGTGTGTGTGTGTGGCTGATCGGTGTCGTCTGTGTCTGTGTCGTCTAGCTGCGTCTGGTGGCTGTGAAGTTACGTCTGGCCCTCCCGTGCTTTGCCGCTCTTCATACGGTGCTCACTAACATCGCTTGCCCCAACAGTCTGCTAAAAGGCTGTACTGGGGATTTTCGTTTGTTGTGTCTGGCCCTGTCTGGCTGTGTCTGGCTCTGTGTGTGAGCGGGTGGCTCTGTGTGGTTGTGTCTGGCTGTGTCTGTGTCTGGCTGTGTCTGGCTCTGTGTGTGAGCGGGTGGCTCTGTGTGGTTGTGTCTGGCTGTGTCTGTGTCTGGCTGGGTGGCTCTGTGTGGTTGTGTCTGGCTGTGTCTGTGTGTGAGCGGGTGGCTCTGTGTGGTTGTGTCTGGCTGTGTCTGTGTCTGGCTGGGTGGCTCTGTGTGTGGCCGTGTCTTTGTGTGTGTCTGGGTTTGTGTTTGTCAATCTGCCACACACATACACACATACTGTGTGTGTGGCTCTATCTCTGTCGGTGTGCATCAATGGCTGTGTGTATGAACGTGTCCGTATCACTTTGTCTAATAGATATTTAATTGCGTCTGTGTGTGTGTGTGTTGGCCGGACAGAGGCGGCTAAACGGGCATTGGCACAGGCTACAGATGATATGGGCTAAGGTAGGGGAGGATTTGGAGCTGATTGGATTTGCCAATGACTGGTACCAGCGGTGTCAAGATCGGTTTCTGTGCAGGAGGAGGCTCGTGAAGGACGCTACTGGACAGTTGGAGGCAGTCACCCACCGACAACAACGGAGGGCAGATGAGGGATACTCACAACAACGAGCGGAGCACCGCGCGGCTAAAACGAAGCAAGTTGGCATAGAGGGGAGTACAGGCGGGGCATCGGCCAGTCATCTCAGTCAGTCGAACCCATGCGCCTGGCCTGTGACCTCCTGCCAGCAGCGAGCTTTTCACACTTCACGTGGCTTCAAAGTGCACATAGCCTGGCACAAGCATCGTGGTGCCGCCGCCGCCACTAAGTGGTGAATGGCGGCTGTTGTTGGTGTGTGTTGTGTGTGCTTTCATTCAGAGCCAGCCAGAACCTTAATGTCACCGAATCCCTCCTTTATAGGCCTGCTTGGGATGTAACTTAGTGCGTGTACTTGGGATGTAACTTAGTGCGTGTACTTGGGATGTAACTTAGTGCGTGTACTTGGGATGTAACGTAGTGCGTGCACTTGGGATCTAACGTAGTGCGTGCACTTGGGATGTAATTTAGTGCGTGTACTTGGGATGTAACGTAGTGCGTGCACTTGGGATGTAATGTAGTGCGTGCACTTGGGATATAACGTAGTGCGTGCACTTGGGATGTAACTTAGTGCGTGTACTTGGGATGTAACGTAGTGCGTGTGCTTGGGATGTAACGTAGTGCGTGCACTTGGGATGTAACGTAGAGCGTGTACTTGGGATGTAACGTAGAACGTGTACTTGGGATGTAACGTAGTGCGTGTGCTTGGGATGTAACTTAGTGCGTGTACTTGGGATGTAACGTAGTGCGTGCACTTGGGATGTAACGTAGTGCGTGCACTTGGGATGTAACTTAGTGCGTGTACTTGGGATGTAATGTAGTGCGTGTACTTGGGATGTAACGTAGTGCGTGTACTGGCGAGGGACACCAATGGAGTACAGCTTCGCATGCAAACGTCAAAGCCCAAACAGATCACTGAGTTCCACTCCGTAATAATCCTAATGACAGCCTTTATTGACTTACCCATGACTCGTCTCAAGGCATTTGTTTTTCAGGAGGGTCATGACGGCTGGTCACACGACAACACAAAGACATAGACCTCCCCTCCCCTCCCCCTTAGCCTTCACAGACTGTTGGGGAAAGTGCTGTTAGCGAGTAGCACCTATGAAGGTCGGCACGGCACACGAGGGGGTGGGTGGACAGCACCACGCCCGGCCGCCTTTGTCTCCCGAGTGGCGATGTCTACACACTACCACACAAAGTACTCATTGGAGGCCGAGTCGACCTATGGGGAGATGCAGCAGGGGTTGAGACAATCGTCAGTGGTGTTGGCCGTGAGTGGGAATCGAACTCGGTTTGCCCGGTGTGTAGTGCAGCGAGCTAACTGCTCTCCGGCACGAACACATGAACACACACACACACACATTGATGAGCAGCAAAAGTGAACTTGCCACATCCATACTCCAGTGCGCTAACCACTACGCCACCGCTCCTCACACACGATACAGCCTGCACGCAGGCAATAGACGCACGCGCCAACGGGCCCACTCAAACACAACCCCAACACTCACACATCCCACGCGCCGACACGGCCAATCACCATGGCATTCTCCCAGTCGAGTCTCACCGAGTCTCGAGGCTAATCTTTAGGGGCGTCTTGCGATACACTTGGGTGCTACCAGCCGGGCGGCGGCGGCGGCGGTGGTGGTGGCTACGCAGCACGTGGCCGCCTGTAACCCGGCACCGTGCAGGTAGCGAGGGGTTGGCGGATCACACGCGCAGATGTTGGGAAACTCAACCCCGCGCCCTCCCCCGCTGGCATCGAAGAGATGCCGTACCCCGGGCTGGCCACGAGGCGACAGCGCTCAGCGAGCGTGAGTGAAACTCCATCTGTTACATCTGCGCGCGCGGCGGGGGGGGGGGGGAGGGGGGAAACTCCATCCGCTCGTCGCTGATTGGCCGAAAAAGACCTCGACCACCGTGCTTGTTACGCTTCACAGTGATAATTAATCGTTAACGTCTGGCCTAACCCGTTAACGACAGCTAGTTTGGCTCTGTGCGGGACGAAACGAGAGGGGGGTGGGGACAGGCGGGGGGGGGGGTGACCACTTAAATGCCTGAGCAGGCGGATTCATTAGGACATTAGAGTGGATTACCAACGAGTGGAGGGGTGGTGGTGGTGGTGGTGAAGGGGGGGGGGGTGTAATTTAAACCCCTCCTGGATTCGCGTCAACTGCCCCCCCCCCTCACGTGTAGCTCCTTCCTTATTTAATTCCTTCATTTATTGCTTCGTTCCTTCATTCGTTCCTTCATTCGGCCTCTGGTTCTTTTCCGCTCCTCTGCGAGTTGAGACTGTGAGCTAGTTTATGAGTTTCCATTTGTGAGATTCCGTTTCCTTAAGCACGTTACGACCTCGAATCATCTATTGTGATTGGTTGAAAATAATAATAAGCATTACGTTTATTTTATACACATATGTCGCGAGTAAGAGTTTCGTTCGTGCAAACTGCGTCGCCAGCAGTCGCTGAAGGGACCGCAGGCCAGCTGAAACGGGCTTGTGATTGAATGGATGAACAAATGAGTCAGTGAGTGAATGAGTAGGCGAGCAATTGGCTGACTGAGCGAGTAGGTGAATGAACCAGTGGGTGAGCGAGTGGTTGACTGAGCGAGTAGGTGAATGAACCAGTGGGCGAGCGAGTGGTTGACTGAGCGAGTAAGTGAATGAACCAGTGGGCGAGCGAGTGGTTTACTGAGCGAGTAGGTGAATGAACCAGTGGGTGAGCGAGTGGTTGACTGGGCGAGTAGGTGATTGAACCAGTGGGTGAGCGAGTGGTTGACTGAGCGAGTAGGTGAATGAACCAGTGGACGAGCGAGTGGTTGACTGAGCGAGTAGTTGAATGAACCAGTGGGTGAGTGAGCGAGTGGTTGACTGGGCGAGTAGGTGAATGAACCAGTGGGTGAGCGAGTGGTTGACTGAGCGAGTAGGTGAATGAACCAGTGGACGAGCGAGTGGTTGACTGAGCGAGTAGGTGAATGAACCAGTGGGTGAGCGAGTGGTTGACTGAGCGAGTAGGTGAATGAATCAGTGGGCGAGCGAGTGGTTGACTGAGCGAGTAGATGAATGAACCAGTGGGTGAGCGAGTGGTTGACTGAGCGAGTAGGTGAATGAACCAGTGAGCGAGCCAGTGGTTGACTGAGCGAGTAGGTGAATTAATCAGTGGGTGAGCGAGTGGTTGACTGAGCGAGTAGGTGAAGGAACCAGTGGACGAGCGAGCGGTTGACTGAGCGAATAGGTGAATGAACCAGTGGGCGAGCGAGTGGTTGACTGAGCGAGTGGTTGACTGAGCGAGGAGGTGAATGAACCAGTGGGCGAGCGAGTGGTTGACTGAGCGAGTAGGTGAATTAATCAGTGGGTGAGAGAGTGGTTGACTGAGCGAGTAGGTGAATGAACCAGTGGACGAGCAAGCGGTTGACTGAGCGAGTAGGTGAATTAATCAGTGGGCGAGCGAGTGGTTGACTGAGCGAGTAGGTGAATTAACCAGTGGGCGAGCGAGTGGTTGACTGAGCGAGTGGTTGACTAAGCGAGGAGGTGAATGAACGAGTGGGCGAGCGTGCATTTGGCCGAGCGAGCTCACGAATGGATGAACGAGTCAGTGAGCAAATGCACGCACGAACGAACGACCGAGCAAATGGGCGAACGAGCGAGCGAGCGAGCGGTATGGTCCAGCGGGATGGAAGTGCCCCTCACGCTGGCAGGAAGATGCCGTGCATGTCGAGGGGCAGGGCGGAGGGGAAGGGGGCCCGGGCGAGCTCCTCCAGGTCGCGAGCGCCCAGTACTACCAGCAGGGCCTGCTCGACGCGGCGCAGGGGACCCACCACCACCAGCAGCAGCCCTGCGTCGACACACAGCAGCAGCGACATCGTCAGCAGGAGGAACAGCAACATCAGCAGGAGGAACAGCAACATCAGCAGGAGCAGCAGCAGCATCAGGAGGAGCAGCAGCTCAGGAGTAGCATCAGCAGGAGCAACATCATCAGGAGCAGCAGCAGCATCCGCAGGAGCAGCAGCAGCATCAACAGTATCAGCAGCAGCAGGAGTAGCATCAGCATGAGCAACATCAGCAGCATCAACAGGAGCAGCAGCATCAATAGCAGCATCAGCAGGAGCAGCAGCATCAATAGCAGCATCAACAGGAGCAGCATCAGCAGCAGCATCAGCATCAACAGCAGCATCAGCAGGAGCAACATCAGCAGCATCAACAGGAGCAGCATCAGCAGGAGCAGAAGCATCAATAGCAGCATCAACAGGAGCAGCATCAGCAGGAGCAGCAGCATCAATAGCAGCATCAACAGGAGCAGCATCAGCAGGAGCAGCATCAGCAGGAGCAGCATCAGCAGCAGCAGCATCATCATCAAGGATCTTTGTGTTTCTCACCATCATCCTCGTCCGTTGCCCCGGGTCTGGCGATGAAGACGGGCTCCCCCACCCAGCCACGTGGCTCTCGCCACTCTTTCCGACTCTTCTCCACCAGATCCAGCTTCAAAATCTACCCGTTGGAAGGGGGTAGGGGGGGAGGGCACGGTGGCGAGATGTTAACTACCTCTCCTGGTATGCAGGAGGTCGTGGGTTCGATCCCGACCCTGACGTCAGTTGGTATGCAGGAGGTCGTGGGTTCGATCCCGACCCTGACGTCAGTTGAAAATTGGAGTTTGTGTCTCTCTGCCCGTGGTCGCGTGGATTTTTCTCCGTTTAAAAATATCTGGCTGCCATAAATTGCCACATGGCAATAACCCACTTCGTTGAGCAATCCCTTGTGATAGCCAGTGAGCTACATAACTCAGTGGGGCCTTACCTGGTAAAGTAAAAAAAATGTTTTTTAGTTTAGAAAGACATGGGGGAGGTGAGTACGCGCGGGAGACTTTCGATGTCACGAAGTTCATTGCTTAGCCACCAGGTGGCAGCATGATCCCACACGCCAACATTGCCACGCGTTGGCAAGTTGGAAGCGGAGAGACGAATGAGACGATGCAATGTACAGACTGCCACGAGAGTTTAACGCGTAGGCTTTCGCGGCCAATATGATCCATATAATCATAGCTGTCAACTCCTTATCAGTGCGCCTACCTTATTACAGACCAGTTCAGACTTTATTGGTCACCCCCGTGCCCTTACAAATCTCAACGTCCATCCTACAAAGTCCCATCACAAGGGAGATACACATATAGATAGACAAAACAATGTTTTTGCCCGTAATGAAACGGCTGTAGGCCGTATGGGCCTGAAAACTCATTTTCCTTGTACAAGAATACGGGTACACCGTATTATCTAACCCAAAAACGTGATCTAACCTGAACAAAAAAGTTTTGTTCACGGGTAATATATATTGGTCGCGAAAGCCTCGACGTTAAACTGGCTAACCTTGAAGGCGAGGATACTTTTCTTCAAACAAGAAAATTGGGAGAAACTCCGCATCAAGCGGATGAAGCTGATATCTCAATAGAGACCCATAGACGTACACAGATACCCATAGTGGCTTGGACTTACACAGATCAATAGACGTATAGAGACCAATAGGCTTACCATGACATCCATAGACTGAGACTTGCTGGGATAAATACATTTACATTGAGATCCATGAACTTACATCTAGACCCAAGGACTTACAGAGATGCACAGACTCATATAGAAACCCACAGACTTAGACTTACAGAGAGACCCATATCACCAGGTATTCATCCAAGGCTGAGTAAACCTAGGGGAGGCCCAGGAGGGGTTCAGATGTCTCATCATCAATGTTGGTAATGAGCGAGAATCGAACTCATGTCACTGGGTTCGTAGCACAGCACCCTAACCACTGAGCCACCACCTCCCACAAACACTCAACACACTCTCACGCACACTCACACACACAGGGACGCTCACACACCAACACAACAACAACAACAACAACCGCCGTTCACCACTAATGGCGGTGACGTCGCCGCGTCGCTTGTGCCAGGCTAGGTGCTCTTCCGAAGCCGCGTGAATCGTCGAAGGCTCGCCGCTGGCACGAGGTGAGGGGACAAACGCAGGTGAACGTGGGTCAACGGACTGAGACGACCGGCAGGTGCACCAGCTCTGCTCCCGCTGATGTGCCACCTCGCCGAGCTTTAGCCGCTGGCACGCGGCCATTCCCACCTTGGTTGCCACCATGCCCGCCTGCGTCTCCACCACGTACACGAATCTGTTCTTGATCCCGGAGAAAGCCGGGTTGATGCAGGGCAGGTCCACGCCTGGGGGGACACAGCGGTGGCACGAGACGTGAGCAGAGTTCGGCTCTATTTGGGCAAGATGCCTGACCACATTTGTCTCCCCAGTGGCGATGTTCACACACCGCAGCGGGCTAACCGCTACACCACCGCTCCCCACACACACACGCCACCCTCCCCCACCTACCATCCCTCCATCCATCTCCTCCATCTCCCCGACATCTCTCCCTCCACATTCCCTCGTCGCCTCCACCGCTCCCCATCTATGGCGCCACGGTGGCTAGAAGATGTTAACTCCCTCGCCTGATATACAGGAAGTTGTGGGTTTGTTCCCGACCCTGATGCCTGCTGCTGTAGATTTGATGTTTGCGTGTTTTTCCCGCGGTCGAATGGATTATTCTCCGGGTCCTCTGGTTTTCCCTCCACATTTATAATCGACGTGCATTTCGAGTATTTGGCTGCTATAAATTTCCACATTATAAGCCACTTCGTTGAGGTATCATTTGTGGCCACGTCGCTTCTAAAAAATAGCTACATAGCTCAGTGGGCCTTACCTGGTAAAATAATAATAGTTTAGATTTTAAATTTTGATTTAAACCTTTCGTGACTGCAGTGATTCATATTCTTGGTTCTTTCGGTAAAGTCACGTTGTTTCCCTTCAACGTGACTTTACCGAAAGAACCAAGAATATAGTTTAGATTTTAGTTTAGTTTATTTTCTATTTTACTAGCTGATGCCAAGTGAGCGAGTCGTCCTTTTTCAGAAGCGACCTGGCCACAAACGATACCTCAACGAAGCGGCGTATCATCATCACGTGGAAGTATACTGCAACCGTTCCACGTTGATTCTAAATGTGGAGGGAAAAACCGGAGGACCCGGAGACAAATCCACGCGAGCACGGAGAGAGAGGGAGAAAGCGAGACACGCACACTCCAAATATACAACAGGGGGTCAGGGTCATGATCGAAGCGGAGCGGGGGGGGGGGGCGTACTTTGTGCGATCTCCTCGGGAATGCAGTAAAGGTGTCCGTCCTTGTCGCGGATGGCACAGGCCTCGCTGGCTGGCAGCGTCACGAGGTTCGTGCCGATCTCCACACCCTGCGGCGGCCGCGGACAGAATCACTCGCTCCCACGCTTACTCACTCACCCACTCACCCACCCACTCACTCACTCACTCACCCACTCACTCACCCACTCACTCACCCACTTACTCACCCACGCACTCACTCACTCACCCACTCACTCACTCACTCGCCCACCCACTCACCCACTCACTCACCCACTCACCCACTCACCCACTCACCCACTCACTCACTCACTGACCCACCCACCCACTCACTCACCCACTCACTCACTCACCCACTCACTCATCCACTCACTCACTCACCCACGCACTCACTCACCCACTCACTCACTCACCCACTCACTCACCCACTCACTCACTCACTCCCCCACTCACTCACCCACTCACTCACTCACCCACGCACTCACTCACCCACTCACTCACCCACTCACTCACCCACTCACCTACGCACTCACTCACCCACCCACTCACACACCCACTCACTCACTCACCCACGCACTCACTCACTCACCCACTCACTCACTCACTCACCCACTCACTCACTCACCCACTCACTCACTCACCCACTCACTCACTCACCCACTCACTCACTCACCCACGCACTCACTCACCCACGCACTCACTCACCCACTCACTCACTCACCCACTCACTCACCCACTCACTCACTCACTCCCCCACTCACTCACCCACTCACTCACCCACCTAATCGCTAACTCACCCACCTACATACCCACCTACTGAGTCACTCACCCACCTCCTCACTCACCCACGTACTCACTCACCCACGTACTCACTTACCCACCCACTCACTCACCTCCTCACTCACCCACGTACTCACTCACCCACTTACTCACTTACCCACCTACTCACCCACAAACATACTCATCCACTCGCTCACCCACCTACTCATTCACCTACTGGGCACGAACACTAACCCACTCATCAACGCGCTGATTCACTCTCTCACCTGACCATGAACCCACTCACCTATGTACATAATACAGATCCCCCGTATAGCCTTAATCGACTGTTGGGGCAAGTGCTGTTAGCGAACAGCTATGTAGGGCAGGAACGGCACACGAGGGGGTGAGTGGCCAGCACCACGCCCGGCCGCCTTTGTCTCCCCAGTGGCGATGTTTACACACCGCACCAGGTACTCATTTGAGGCCGAGTCGACGCATGCTTACACACACACACACGTACACACACACACAAGTACACACACATGCGTACACACACACACGTACACACACACACGTACACACACACGTACACACGCGTCCACACACACACGCGTACACACACACAAACACGCGTACACACAGGTACACGCGTACACACACACGCGTACACACACACACACGTACACACACACGCGTACACACACACGCGTACACACGTACACACACACGTACACACGTACACACACACGTACACACGTACACACACATGCGTGCACACATACACACGCGTACACACACACACGCGTACACACACACGCGTACACACACACGCGTACACACACACACGTACACACACACGTACGCACGCGTCCACAAACACACACGCGTACACACACACAAACACCCGTACACACACACGTACACACCCGTACACACACCCACACAGGTATACACACACACGTACACACACACACGTACACACACACACGTACACACACACACGTACACACGTACACACACACGTACACACGTACACACACGTACACACACACACACGTACACACGTACACATACACGTACACACACACACGTACACACACACATGTACACACACATACGTACACACGTACACACACACGTACACACACACACACGTACACACACACACACGTACACACGTACACACACACGTACACACACACGTACGCACGCGTCCACAAACACACACGCGTACACACACACAAACACCCGTACACACACACGTACACACCCGTACACACACCCACACAGGTATACACACACACGTACACACACACACGTACACACACACACGTACACACACACACGTACACACGTACACACACACGTACACACACACACACGTACACACGTACACACACACGTACACACACACGTACACACACACACACACGTACACACACGTACACACACACACACGTACACACACACACGTACACACACACGTACACACACACGTACACACATACACACGTACACACACACGTACACACGTACACACACACACGTACACACACGTACATACATACGTACACACGTACACACACACACGTACACACGTACACACACACACGTACACACACACACACGTACACACACACACGTACACACGTACACACACACGTACACACGTACACACACACGTACACACACACACGTACACACACACGTACACACATACACACGTACACACACACGTACACACACACACGTACACACGTACACACACACACGTACACACACACACACACGTACACACACACGTACACACACACACGTACACACGTACACACACACGTACACACGTACACACACGTACACACACACACGTACACACGTACACACACACGTACACACACACACGTACACACACACATGTACACACACATACGTACACACGTACACACACACGTACACACACACACATGTACACACACACACACGTACACACGTACACACACACGTACACACACACACGTACACACACACACACGTACACACACGTACACACACACGTACACACACACACGCACACACACACGTACACACACACGTACACACGTACACACACACGTACACACACACGTACACACACACGTACACACACACGTACACACGTACACACGTACACACACACACGTACACACACGTACATACATACGTACACACGTACACACACACACGTACACACGTACACACACACACGTACACACACACACACGTACACACACACACGTACACACGTACACACACACGTACACACGTACACACACACGTACACACACACACGTACACACACACGTACACACATACACACGTACACACACACGTACACACACACACGTACACACACACACGTACACACACACGTACGTACACACACACACGTACACACACACGTACACACACACACGTACACACACACACGTACACACACACACACACGTACACACGCGTGCACCTTCTCGTTGGCTTCCAACGGAATAACGAAGCGCAGCAGGCGGCTCTTCACGGGTGCTCTCTCCTCCTTCACATCGTCGTCCCCTCCTCCCTCTCGTCCCCTTCCTCCTCCTCCTCCTCCGCCCTCATCGCTTGTGGACTTGACTCCCTTCTTTTCTTTGTCGTCATCGTTGTCACGACCCTCCTCCTCCTCCTCCTCGCCTTTGCCGAAGTAGAACACCGAGTAGACTCCGTCTCCATCGTGCGACGTGACGTCCGCGACGAGGTGGCCCTCCTCATTGTACGTGTTGGCGTGGTGGATGAAGACGCCCGCGTCCGTGTAGCACGTGATGACGTCTGGAGGCGGCGACGACGACGAGGAGGAGGAGGAGGAAGGGGTGGAGGAGGAGGTGGAGGAAGGGGTGGAGGAAGGTGCCGCGTCCTCTCTCTTCCTCGCCAGGACGTGGATGTGAGTCTGGCGGCGCACGGGGGGGGGTGGGGGGTGAGTGAGCTTTGTCTGTTGCCGTGTCTTTAACGACGTCGTCACAACTCCTGTGGAGGCCGTCTGCTACGAGCGACGCGTTGCTCCTCAACGAGCCGGTCGGATGTTTGCGCGCGACCGGTCGCTCGAGGGTGTGGTCGACCCTGACTGAGAGAAAAATCGGTTGCACGCAACTAAAATCGGAGTCGCGCGTAAACCAAACTGGAGACGCGCGCAACCAGACCGAAGTTGCGCGCAACCGCGCCGGAGTTGCACGCAACCACGCCGGAGTTGCACGCAACTGCACCGGAGTTACACGCAACCACGCCAGAGTTGCGCGCAACCAGACCGAAGTTGCGCGCAACCACGCCGGAGTTGCACGCAACTGCACCGGAGTTACACGCAACCACGCCAGAGTTGCGCGCAACCAGACCGAAGTTGCGCGCAACCAGACCGGAGTTCCGCGCAACCGCGCCGGAGTTGCGCGCAACCGCGCCGCCGCACCTTCTGCTCGGGGTCGTAGGAGAGGCAGCTGGCCATGTTTTCTCCGCGGAGCGAGGAGGTGAGCATGCGCAGCACGTGCAGCACGTGCGGAGACTCCAGGAGCAGCGCGTGGGAGTGGCACAGCCCGAAGCTGTGCAGGTAGCTGGGGCTGATCATGCGGGAGCAGGGCACGCTGCACAAGACTCGCGCCCTCCCCACTCCCGAGTTGCGCTCCTCGCCTGCCCGGAATGGAGGAGGAGCACGACTCCGGTTAGCACTTGCTCGGCTACGCACGTACGTACGCGTGTAGGGGGGGAGAAGCGCGAGAGAGGGGAACGGAGGATGTCACGGGAGAGGAGAGGGGGGTACGAGATGAGAGGGGGTGGGAGAGGAGAGGGGGGGACGAGGGGAGGAGAGGAGGGAGGGTGAAGGAGGGTGAAGGAAGGAAAATGTGGGGACGCTGAGGAGGGGAGGGAGATTTGAGGGGAACAGAGAGTAGGAGAGGAAGGGAGGAGAGAGGAGGGGAGGGGAGGAAATGAGAGGGGATAGAAATGGAGGGATGAGGTGGGAAGAGGAAAGAGGAAAGAGGGGGAGTGATAACAGAGAGGCAAGAGGCCAGGAGAGGACGGAAGAGGGGGTGAAGTCGGGGCATGGTAATCACACAGCTTGTTGTTAAGAGGAAAACTTATACGCGCCCCCTAATTACTGAGATTATCGTCGGAATTTCACAAAGTTGCCCATTATTTTGTTTGCTTGAAGCACCACGAAGCGGGGGTGAAGTGGTGGGGGTGGGGGGTAGGTGTAGAACTTCAACTTATTTTGCACCGTAGGCAGCCAACCGTGCTAATCGGGGGTGTGATTACGAGCAACACGTCTTAAATGACCACACTAAACTAAAACTACTCTCGTTTGATTTCACCAGGTAAGGCGCCACTGAGCTGCCCAGCTTTTTTTTGCAGAAGCGACGTGGCTGTCGCAAATCACAGCTCAGCGAAGTGACTCATCGTCGCCTCGCGGACATTTACAGCAGCCGAATACTCGTCTAGGTGGGCGACCGTGGGGAGAGAGACAAAGGCGGTTGGGCGACGTGCCGGACACGCACCCTTAGCACGCGCGAGCCGTGCGCCCCTTCGTAAAAGAGCTTCGCGGCTCGTCGGATTTCCTCCAGCGAGAAAAATCAAGATTCCGATTCCAATTCCGAGGTGCGCGGCTAACAGCGGCACTTGGCTCGGCGGGCTGTCAGGAGCCTCCCGGCGGAGGGCTTTGCCTTCTTTTTGCCCGAGTACCTGCGGCGGTGGGCGGGATCTGCAGAAGGTTGTACTTAGTGCGGCCCCTCTCGCCGATCACCGTGGCCACGTTGTAGGCCGTGCCGTCCGGCTCGTACAGCGGGTGAGCCGTCAGCATGTTCATCCCCACCTTCTCGGCCAAGTTCACCTGTGTGTGTACGCGTGTACGTGTGTACGTGTGTGCGTGTGTACGTGTGTGCGTGTGTACGTGTGTGCGTGTGTACGTGTGTACGCGTGCATGTGTACGTGTGTACGTGTGTGCGCGTGCGTGTGTACGTGTGTACGTGTGTGCGTGTGTACGTGTGTACGTGTGCGCGTGTGGGGAGGGCGGCAGTGTAGCAAGTTAGCATGCTTGTGCTACGAAACCCGGATTCGATTCCTGCTCGCGGCCAATAACAGTGGCGAATCTTTGAAGCGGCCCTGGGCGGTGGTCGTGGTGGTGTAAGTTATGGTGGTCGTGGTGGCGGTAGCAGCGGTGGTGGTCGTGATGGCGGTAGCGGCGGTGGCGGTGGTCATGGTCGTGATGGCGGTAGCGGCGGTGGCGGTGGTCATGGTCGAGATGGTGGTAGCGGTGGTGGCGGTTGTGGCAGCGGTGGTCATGGTCGTGATGGCGGTGGGAGTGGTGGTCGTTGTCGTGATGGCGGCGGTGTCGGTGGCGGTGGCACCTTGTCCGACGTGAGGAGTGATGTGGGCTCGATGCGACGCAGCAGCGGCGTCTGGCTCTGAGCGTACACGTCGGTGCCGCAGCGCATCATGTTCACCGAGCAGTTGTCCGTCACCTCGGGCAATGCGCTCCGCAGAAGTGCCAGGGACCTGCGACGTCGCAGCGGGACAAACAAAAACCCCTCTCAGGACAGACGTTCACCCCGAGCTCACGTCCCCACCCCCCCCCAGTGAGTGGCAGCCGTGCCGGAGCGGCACAGGATTCACGTCGATGAGCTTTCTCGCGCTACAAACCCGGCGACCCGGGTTCGATTCCCGCTCACGGCTACCAACAGCCAGGGACGATTATCTTAACCGGTTCTGGGCCTCCCCTAGGTCGGCTCAACCTCGAATGAGTACCTGCTAGCGGTGTGTAAAGATCACAGCTGGGGAGACAAAGGCGGCCGGGCGTAATGCTGGCCAGCCACCCCTTCGTGTGCCATTCCGGCCTTCATTTGTGCTCGCCAACAGGACTTGCCCCAACAGTCTGTAAAGGCTATACGGGGGATCTTTGTCTTTGTAATGTATTGCATGTGCAGTGGGTGGTTGTGGACATGGCTTGTGGGTTGGTAGTCCTGATGGTGGTGGTAGTGGAAGTCAGGTGGTGGCTTGTAGTTTGTGGAGGGGTGGGTGGCAGTGTAGCGGTGCACATTTTTCGCCCGCGTTTAATATCTTATCAAACACGTTTAATATATTATTTACATATTTACTTATTGCAATGCCAATATCGTTATTCTACGAAATGTGCTCATTCGCGAGCGTCTCCAGAGGGTAATCCCTCGCGGAAAGCGAGGGGACCGCGTGATGACGTGGGACTGCGAAGGCGTTGGCGGATGCCCAACGGCACCTCTGGAAGAGACCCGCGCCCTCCGCGAGCGGGACCCTCGTGCCAAATTCTGGCACCAAAATGCGGTTGGCCTCCACGTTCTTCGTGTACGTGTCGCTGCGCAGGTAGCGACTGCTGAACCACACCTCACCTGGGGGGGGGGGGGTGGGGTTGGGTGAGGGGGTGAGGGAGTAGAGAGAGACAGCACAGACAGTTTCAAAGTTCCAATTATTTTGGTATAGCCCTGTGAGCCATTCGGCTCTTGAATCGGGTGCAACCGCAACAAACAAAAAAACAAAAACACGAACAAGAAAACATCTTAAAGTGGCTTTGTGCATGTGCAAACAGAAAATCCAGGAAAAAACATCAAAATATTCCTGTGTGGCAAAAATCCCAGTGGGATGCAAGTCAAACAACAACAACAAGAAAACTTAGATTAAGGCCATCAGTCTAACTCCGTACTACAATAAACAAAAACATGGCCAAACCAAAAAACTTTTAGAAATCACCAAAATAAAGCCATAAATGCAATGTAACATTGATCATAGGAACTGTGACCGAATTTTTAACAATAAACTACATAAATAACATGTAACACCAAACCCTAGAGCCACAGCTGGCTGCATGAGTCACTCCACAAACAACAGGAGCATCAGTCGGAGTATCACATTTTTCAATGCACCTTTAAGATCAGCACACTAAATCAAAATACAGATAATACTTTGAAGCGGTCATCCGGAGCAAAACATTTTATTTTAGGCCACTGAATAGCAGTGGCAGCTAGGGGTGTACAACTCCTCTAGAGCAGTTTTGAGTGAAGATCTCATAGGTAGTGATTCAAGTTGCAGTTTATTGGAAATAGCATTCCAGACCCTGGGGGCATCAATAGCAAAGGCCCTTCCTCTGGTTTTTGTACGGCAATAGGGAATGTGAAGCTGGTAGATGAGCGAAGACCTGAGGTCAAATTTGTTCTTTGAAACAGAGAGGAGATCCAGCAGGTAGTCTGCGGATTTTTTTTGTAAGTACATCGTGAATAAATAAGATCTGGTGTACAAGCCGTCGAACATTAAGAGATGTTAAGTTTGACCCAATGTAGAGATCACAGTGGTGAGTTCTATATGGGCAGTTCAATGCAAATCTTAAGGCTGAGTGATAGATGGAATCAAGCTTCTTCAGTACAGTACTTGGGGCTGATTTATACACGATATCACAGTAATCAAGTAGAGGCAGTATGGTAGCTTTTATCAATTCCAAACGGAACATAGGGGGGAAGCAGTGCTTGTGTCGATACAGAAAACCAATTTTTATTTTTGTCTTTTTACCAATATAATCAATGTGATCTTCAAAATTCAGTTTTGAATCCAGGATGACCCCAAGATACTTATAAAACTTGACTTGCTCTATTTGATCATTATTTAAGGAATGTAATTTGGGAAAAATAACTTCCTGCTTTAGTCCCGGTGAGAAGCATAGCACCTTGGTTGTGGAGGTATTTAGGACTAGTTTAAGAGCAACTAGCTGATGTTGTAGTTTGTTGAAATCACCCTGGAGCTTAGTAATCACGTCATCCGGAGAGCGGCCAGCAGTAATCAGTATCGTGTCATCTGCAAATAGATTTAACCTGGAATGATCCAGGTCAGTGCCCAAGTCATTGACATAAAGAGAGAACAAGAGGGGGCCGAGGATGGAACCCTGTGGAACCCCTTTTGTTATCTTAACACTATTTGACCTCCAACCATCTGTGAATACAGTTTGGGTGTGAGAAAAGAGGTAATTTTTTAACCATTTTCCTGTGTTTTTGGAAAAACCGAGGCAACTTATTTTACCAAACAGGGTGTTGTGGTCTACTGTATCAAAAGCTTTGGACAGGTCAAGAAAAAGACAGGCACAGTACTGCTTATTATCAAGGCTACTGTAAATTTGATTCAGAGAGTCTAATGCAGCAGATGTGGTGCTGTATTTTTTCGGAACCCAGATTGTTTTAGATGTAGTAGATTGTTGGTGGACAGGAAACTGCTAATTTGGTAGTTCAATAATTTTTAAAAAATTTTCATCAATGGGGATAAAATTGAGATAGGTCGGTAGTTATTGGGATCATCTTTAGGGCCCCCTTTGTGAAGTGGATGGACATAGGAATGTTTCCATTCTAGTGGAACTGATGCTTCTTTGATGGACAGGTTGAAAATATGGGCTATAGATTTGTATATTAGGTGACCAACAGTTAGTAGAGCAAAGACGGGAAAACTATCTGCTCCGGTAGAGGAGGACCCTTTGAGGTAGGACAGCTGTTTCAGAACATTACTTTCGTGGATTGGCTGGAAACTAAATTCGTTTAATGTTTGGACAGGGGTGTAGGAATTTGCATGAGCAGGGGTGACTCCCAATATATTATCAAAAAGATTACCAGTTTCAGAAAAATTAAGGTTAAAATTGTCAACTATTTTGTTGGGATCTGAAGAATATTCCCCATTTCGGTTTAGCTCAACGGGCAGGTTGTCTGTTTTGGATGCCTTTTCGATACATTTGATTGTTTTCCAAAAAATCCTGGCATTTCCATGTGATTCCAGGAGAGTGGAGGAAAAGTAGGCATTTTTTGCATGCCGTATTTTTTTACGCATCTATTCCTTAAAATCCTGTATTCTAGCCAGTCATTTACCAAGTTACTTTTCTGAGCACATGCCCAATCCTTGTCCCTAGTTTTCATGAGCTTTGTAATCAAAGGATCATACCATGGTGGGCGGTTGCCTTTAGTTTTAAATCTAACCAAAGGAGCATGTTTGTTAAGAATTTGGAGAAACATGTACCTGAAGGTCTCCCAAGCCGTAGTCAGGTTGGGGATATCACAGACCTTGTCAATATCCGAGTGAAGCACATCATTAGTAAATGCCTGAGTGCTGAAGTGCCTCAAAGAGTGCTTCTCAACAATTTTAGGGGGGGCTTTGGGTCTGGCTGATGATCTCACCCCAAAAATGAAGGAGTGATCACTAAGGTTATTTCCCAGAACACCAGTCAGTGCGAAATTGTGAGGGGCATTTGTCAATAGGACGTCAAGCAGAGTTGATTGTCGCGGAGTTTTTAGGTTGGGTCTTGTGGGGACATTTATTAATTGAAACAGGTTAAATTAATCTGTAAAATTTGTGGCCACGGCCGGCGGGTTTAGCCAATTCCAATTTAGATCACCCACTAAAACTATTTCACCTTTTGGGAGGCCCTGAAAAAGCTCTCTCAGTGCAGATGCAGCTTCAACATCCTTCCCACTAGGCGGTCTATAGCAGCACAGACAGGTGTGTACGTGACGAGCCGAGACGAATCGTGTTTTGCTATTTTTGATGAAATCATGATTATGATGAGAATGCCATGATCATTATTTACTGACAGTGGTGGTTGGATAATTCCGATCAATTTACTGATTGATGCACTGCATGATGGCCATACCGATTAATTAATCATGTGATGGAAATGATTGTGGGCGCCACGGTGGAGAAATGTTAACTACATCGCCTGGTGTACAGGTGGTCATGGGTTATATCCCGACCCTGACACCTGCATATTGGAGTTTGCATATCTTTCTCTATCTCGCTCCTCGTGGTCGCGTGGCCATTTTCTAAGGGTCCTCCTGTTTGCATTTAAAATCAAAATCGTGTGCGTTTAGAATATTTGACTGCGGTACATTTCCACGTGGTGATGATGATGATGAGCCACTCCGTTGAGCTATCATGTGGCCAGGTCGCTTTAAAAAAAAAAATCTATGCCCTACCAGTGGGCCCTAGGGCCCTACCTTGTAAAATAAAAAAAATAGTTTCGTTTATCTATCCCCCTGATGCTCCGATGGCTCCCAACCAGCTGTGCTCACCATCTCTGAAGTCGAACTTGCGCAACAACGCCAGGCCGTCAAACCAGTGGCAGTAGTGCGTGTCCCCGACACTGTGCTTGCCTGGCCCGTTGCGTATCAGACAGCCGCGCAGCCACTCCGGCAGGCCTCCTGGGTTTAACCACAGCGGGGGTCGGGGGGGTGGCGGGTCGGGCGGGGGGTGTAAGAGAGACGAGGGGTGGTGGAGACACAAAGAGGCACAGTGACAACACCAAAATCCGTATCGATGCGTCGTGCGAGCGCCACGTGCCACGACGAGGAGGGCGTCGCGCGCCCATCGAATTGCGTCGTCATTATTGTTGTTGTTGTCATGAATAACGCCGGCTGTGAAGAGCAGGCGCACACACGCCTGCGTAGAGTTACAGCGAGTGGCCCGAGAGAGGAAAGCGCAGATTAGCGAACACAAGCAAGTCGAACGCGCCGTGCCAACTTGTTGCGGGAACTGAACAATCCTGGTGATGCTGCTGCTGCTGCCGTGTTATAGCAGCGTTACGCAAGCACAATTACCCACGACCAAAAAGGGGCAAGACCCTCCTGTGTATTCAGCGAATGCTTTTACACTTGACCTTCAGGCAGCTCAAAGCACCGAAATTGTCATGAGACTTGGAAAAAAAAATGTCGGGATATATCAATGGCTTCATTTTTTATTATTTCGTTCATGAAAGGAGCTTCTGTATTATGAGTGCAAGCAAATACAGAGGCTGCTAGGATGTCTTATCGGCGAAAGTGCACCCCCACCGCTGTAACGGAAGCCAAGGCTACAGCGAGCAGTCTGCATGCACGTTACAATCCAATAGAAATCAGCAATTTGTTTTATTTATGCATTGAAACATGTTAACAGTCCCTCAACTCTCGCAAGCGTCCTGGAGGAGATCCCGCAGTCTCTCTGTAGCGTCGCCAAATCACCGTTGCCAGCTAAAGCGATGTAAATAGCCCACGGGTCAGAGCTGACATCGGTTCCGCTCAAGATAGCAACAACTTTATTCGGTTGATTAAAAAAGAAGAGCGACTTTTTTTGAACAATTGGAGCGGGCATCTATCTTATGATTCACCGTCATCGGCCACTTAAATAAATTGCAATCACCGAAGAAGATACGCCACAATGCGTGGTACTGGCGTGTACAATATCTGCTCTTACAATCTTACCCCGCTCCCGCCCGTTTAAACCTGCCGCAGCGGGAGATCGAATCGAACCCCCCGGGGCCTGGCCTGGCATTGCTGCGAGACACTGGTAGGCTCACCGCCACGTGAGTGAATCACGCACGGCAGGAAGCTCATTGTTCAAAGCGTGCGCGCGTCTGTGTGTTGTGCGTGTGTGTATTGCGTGTGTACAGTTCGTGTGTGTGTGTAGTGCGTGTGTGTAGTGCGTGTGTAGTTCGTGTGTGTGTAGTGCGTGTGTGTAGTGAGTATGTAGTTCGAGTGTGTGTAGTGCGTGTGTGTGTAGTGCGTGTGTCTGGCAAAAACAACCCCCGACCTCCTCGTGGTGCCAGACGGCAACGCTGTGGTGGGCAGTGCCGTGGGGGGAGGGCCAATTTAGATTGGCCTTTCCCCTCATGGCGTTTGTAACCACCACAGCTGCCAAATGGGGGCTCTGGATGGGTGCGAGGGGCTGTTAACCCCTCCACCTTCATTTAATTACCACAGAACCACGGGGGGACAGGCGTATATGAAGTCTCCTGGCCAAACCCCATTTGGCGGAGCCAGGAGTTTGAATCTTTACCCTCGGGGCTCCTCCAAAAACAACAAAAAAACACTGAGGGTGGACACGTGGAATGTTCGAATGCTCACTGCGGAGAAGAGGCTGCCACTCCTCTGTCGGGAGCTGGACCGGTACCGCCTGGATCTCTGTGGTATTCAGGAGGTCAGGTGGAACGGCTCTGGCTCCTGCCACCATGAGGGGTGGACAGTCCTCTACTCGGGGTAGGAGACCACTAAACAACAGGGAGTGGCTCTTCTTCTGATTAAAAGAATGAAGGGGGCGTGGGAGCGTGGCGGTGAGGTGTGGGAAGCGGTAAGCCCCAGACTACTTTGGGCTCGCCTTCCCATCAACCGGAGGCGAGGAGTGAGTGGTGGTCGTGGTTACTTATGCCCCCACCGAAGACGAACATCCATGGAGGGATGCAAGCAAGGCCGATGAGTCAGATGGCTTCTATGACCTCCTGTCACAGGTGCTAGCTAAAGTGGCCCCTCGGGATAGAGTCATCCTATTGGGCGACTTCAATGCCCGAGTTGGTCATGATGCTGGCACCTTGTTTGGAGTGATTGGAAGGCATGGGCCAGATCAGCTCAATAACAACGGTAGGAGGCTGCTAGATTTTTGTGCGGCCCATGGGCTTGTAATTACCAACACGCTGTTCCGGCATCGGCACATCCACACAACATCATGGATGCATGCCGGGTCCAAGCAAGAACATCTGCTGGACTACGTAGTGACGGAACAGTGGATGCGAGCCCATGTCCTTGACACCAGGACCAACCGTGGAGCTGATCTGCCCACTGACCATCGACTTGTCATCTGTAAAATGCGCCTGCCATTCTTCCACTCTGGTGGTGGGTGTACACCTGTTGTATATATAGGCCTTTTTCCAAAATTGATGTTAATAATAATTCTGCCAATTTTTTTATCAATCGTGGTGTCGCGTAGGGGCAAAAGGGGGTGAGATGAACCCCCCTCCCCTCACAGCAGCTGTCCTTACTCACAACCAGGAGGTGGAGAAAATCCATAAAAGATAATAAACCCAAAACAAAAGAGAAGGGGGGAAATCTACGTAGCCTCAAAGGCCCCCGTTTTAAGAGCACAGCCAACCAGGTGCCAAGAAGGAACAGGCGAATTCTACAATAATTTTCCCTTTCGTTTCTCTTAATACAACGGTTAAAGTTCAGAACTTAGCGACAAAATGAGTCGACATCATAGACTGTCAACACACTCATAGTGGGTTATCACTTCTCATACATATTATTAATACTAACGTTATTCACCTTAAATTCTATTACATCTTGCCGTCTACGTGACTTTACAAAAACCAAGGAATATGAATTCCAGCAGTCAAGAAGCTTAACCGAAACTTAGTTTCGAAACTTAGTTTCGGTTAAGCATGGATCCCCGGATACAGACGGGGGAGATGAAAGTTAATAAAACCCTAGGAAATACGTGGTGATGATAATGTTAAATCACGAATCTTGGGAAACATAAACCAAATAATAATTATGAAGTATTAAACCGAGGGTTCTCCAGAAGAGATGAGGCGAAAAAGGTCAAACTTACATAACCAAGATAAAATGAATCCCAGAGAGAAAGAGAGTCTCCCAACCGCCTTTGTCTTCCAGCAGCACGTGATAGAATTTGAATACGCAGGCAGAGGGCATCTCCTCTTAAAAATCAAAATCAAACACCACGATGGAAGCACTGTAAACACTGCTACAAACATACCTTGAGTCACGTACAGAATCATAACTACAAAGTGGTACGGTATCAAGCTATAAGAGGTAAAATAAAATGTTTAACTTCAAAAGCCTCAACACACCCCTTTGTGAGAGGCAAAAGAATGTCACACTAAGAGGGAAGAGGGAAAGAAAAAAAACCCCGCCAGAGAATTCTTGTGACCATAATCAACCGGGCTGTAACAATTTGGGGCACCTGATGGTTCCACGGATGAAAAGATGGCTTGAGGAGTGGGACAGGAATCAAGCCAGGGTGAGACTTAACAGATGGCTTAATAAATCAGAACACAAACACACACGGACACACGTACAACTCCCCCCCCCCCCACAACACAGAGCGAAATCAAAGGAAGTTCTGGTCCTTTGTGAGAAGGCGAGTCGAGGTGGGTGAAATTCCACATATAACCAGCGACACGACACACAGATCAGCTCTGCAAGGGACAGTTCTGCGAGCGACAGAAGAGGGCGGCGAGCGGCAAGCTCCGGGGTGGGCCCTGCGATTGACCAAGGATGGCGAGGCTTGCCGAGTGGCGATGTGTCATCAAGTGTGAGTTCAAAAAGTTTATTCGACATCGAGTGCCAGCTCCCACCAGCAACTACGACCATCGACGACCAACTGCTACCATCGGCTCTGCAAGCCATCACAGCTACCGGCGGCAGAAGACGGCGATCGACTACGGAAGATGGCCAACCACCGAAGATAACGGCCAGCCACCGAGGGCGATCGGTCACCGAAGGGCTCGAGTTGAACTGGCGAGCAGCACCAAGCAATCAACCTCGAGAACGGGCGGGAAAGCGCCGAGCATCGACCAAGCCAGCATCGCGGAGAACCAGCCGCACGCGCAAGCGACAGCGCCAGAGGGACGGAGCAGGAGAGAGGACGCCGCAGCGTCGCCAGCGTCACCAAGCTAGGGTGTCAGCTGCCAGCGGACGAGCTGCTACCTGACGACGGGATCATCGCGCACCGACGGCGAGCGTCGTGCTAACTCTTCCAACCGGCTGCGGACAGAACTCCGGCCGCCCGTGAGAAAGGAGAACCAAGCTGTCCGTATGATACGCACACTTCCACACATTGCAACGCATCACCTGGCGTCTGCTTGACGCAAATCATTGAACAAAGACACATCCACACTCAGCACATACACGAACTAACAATAAGAAGACTCGTGATAAGTGCGTCAAGCATCAACTGATAACGAAGAACACGGCTGCCATTGGGTTACGGGGAAACGGTCGTTTAGAAGTATTTTAGTAGTTATGTTTCTTTTGATTTGCATAAATATTGTCAATGAATTCATCGATGAAAACTAAACGTTTAGAAACCTAAGTTACGAATCTACACACTCACCGGGAGAATATTGTGTTGAAATCTTTCTTTTGATCACAGAATCTGCCCGCAAATTTATTGAAGCCTTAGCCAATTGATGAGTATTTGCTGAAGCAGGCATACTGCCGCACCCCACTGTTCCAACATCTCGTTAATTACGTAATCTTGCCCATGAATTAATTGCCATATACTTTTGCCTTCGGGACATGTTTCTTTATTGCCTTCGTATGAATATCATTGCATTAATTTTTAAGGACTTTTTGGCCCTATCGCCGTATATGCTCGCGTTACTCTGAGGAGTTAATTAATTGTTCTGTTACCCAGTTAACAAACGTGATCATTG